TTATCAATTCCAAAGTGCTATAAATCATAAAACAATTTTCTGAAAAAGTGAATGCCAGTGCAACAGGCAGCATTCTGAGTAGAACATGAATCAGTTCTTAGTTTTAACAGCGCTTGCTGTTACCTAACGGCGTTACCAAGAACTGAATGTTGCAATGCAGTGAAGCAACAGATCTGAGCAAACTCAATGATGACACAGTAAAAACCCTCTTGTTTTGTATTCTAAGGTGGACTTTTTGAAATTACTTTTTTTAGAACTACAGCAAATATGTTCTGAACAAATGTTTTTATCTAGATTGGCAAAAATTATAACCAAATAAACAAAAACTTTTTATTCTTGTCAAATATTCACAGAGATGGACATAAACTTGACGAAACATTCAGCTTATTTATTTGATAAATGTCAGTACCTGTTGGTTTTATATATATAAAAGAGTCCATTATTTTCATTCTTCTTTCTTCTTGTTGATTTAGATGGGTTTGTGATTTCATCTTATCGTTTTCTTTTTTTTTTTTTTGGTAAAATGTTACTTTTCCGGGCTCCCATTGTTTTTTGTTTTTCTCATGGAGTCCGATACTTTATTCCTTTTACACCTGGTTAGGTCACATTTGTTGCTGCGTTTTCCCATCTGTTATGTGATATTCGGCTGCAGAGAGCAGCCGAAACACCGCTCATTAGATGTTACAACGTTCTGAGCAAAACACGCAGTTTTCACTTGCAGCGGAGCTGAACTGTCAAACTGTCCTACGAAAACAGAGAGAAAATAAACACAAACTAGCGTAGCACTACAGCTAAATGGCCAAACATTCAAACATTGCTGGCAGGAGAGGAAAATGGTTTTACTGAAATACTCAGTAGATATTTACATGCAGAATTATATAAAAGACACAACCTTTCTTACTTAGGCTCTGGAATTAAATCAGATTTAATTCCAGATAATAATTTTGCTTATTATTGTCAGAATAAGCAAAATTATTCATTAATGATGAAGGAAATTTTTGTGAGGATTTTTAAAAAAACAACTTCCTTCAAATATAGAAGTTTGCTTACATTTTCTCAGTGTTTGTTTTTTTGTTTATTTTTGTTTTTTGTTTTTTTAGTAATATGTAATTTCCTGACTTGGGTAAAATGCAGCAGGGTCATTATGGTCAAACCACAGCTTTATCACGTCTCCAAAAGCAAGTTATTTCCTCTTGATTGTGTTTGCTAGCTTTAATATGAGTTTCTGATAGGGAAGAAAACCGAGCAGCCAAAGAGGTGATAAATAAATCCCTTATTCTCAATAATTAATCCCACACACAAATGCAGTTCCTTTTTCTAATAAACACAATACTCAGATATTTAATAACTTAAGGAGGCAGTCCATGCAGTTGTCCTGACCTTGTGCGAGCTGCCGTGCTGAGGAGCGTTAATACCAAACTAAAAGTTTTCCTTGCAGGGGTAAAAGAACAAGCTGTTCCAAAGCTGCTACTTTCTTAGATACTGTTTGTATTTAACGGTATCTCAGAGCTTTTTCATTTATTAACAACTATTTGATTTTATCCTAGACATTTTATCTTTTGCCTCCCCAACCTGCTGGGAGTGTTTGCCAGCGAGAGGCACGTAGGAACGGAGGCGGAGAGCAGGGAGTGTTGTCGAATGATGCATCAGCAGACAGAAGCCCTATCCTGTCATTGTTTCTGGTCATGGTGACTTCAGAAATTAATAATGGCAAATGATGTTTTTCTAGCTTCCTCACACTTGTGACGATCGAGTGTTGTTACCTAGAACAACAGTTACAGACTTGGTAGAAATGGTAGAATGGGCTGTTTTCCTGTCGGTCACATCCTCTTACGTTGATCTGCAACTGGAGGAAAGTTCTTGGTTCTCGGAAAGGAGATGAGAATTGTTCCTGTGAATTGTTTCACACATTTTTAGAAACGCTTTTATTTTTGCCTAAACCGCATGACAAATACTGGGAGTGGTCCAAAAATATTGGCACCCTAAACCAAGCTTTCCATATTTTGATTTTGTTGCAGTGAGTATTTATGTCCCAGACCTGCAGAACTGGGAAGAAACAGGATAAATGGTTTTCCAGTTTTTGCTGTTAAAGATCTGAAACGTGTGCATGTTTGATTTGGTTTCAGATTTAGCTCAATAAATTGGCTTCGTAAGTGACCAGAGGTGGGAACACTTCTGCCGATGCGTTAACAGCAAAGCCGTTTTTTTTTACTGACTTTGAAACCGTTGGTTAGCTTTCACTAAATTCATTTTTCCACATAATTTCCTGGGCTATTTTGTAAACTCTCAGTCGAACAAAGAGCAAAGATGTCTTTGATTATCGACTGTTGAGACTTCTTCAACAAGAAACGCACAAGAACAAAATAAAACACAAACAATAGGGAACCAGAAAGAAACATAAATATGCTACCAATTTTATTGGGGCTAATATGCAGAAGCGTAACACTGACAGACAACCCTGGAGTTTTTTTAGCGATAAATGCAGGACAATCCTGAAAGAAAACATGTCGGAGGCCCAAGTAGGGCCTGAGGTTTACAACCCTAAAAATACAGTCAGTCGCAACAAAAAGGTTATGCTTGTGTTAGAATGACTCTGTCAAGACATAAGACTTGAAAGTAATTTGATGTTCGCTTGAACTTTTTCTTGAAGAAGAAGAAGAAGAACGGTAAACACAGTAAATACAGAAATGGATTGTTGTGGCACAGCTGGACTTTCTTTAGTAATCAGCTTTTTTTCCTGGGTATAGAAGTAAAGAACAATGTTTATAAAACAAAATACAAAACAGATTTGTGCTTTGTTGCAAAAAATATCAATGCAAGGATAAATGATGTATAATTCTGAATTATTATACTGGCCTCCCTAACAGAAGGCCAGTCACCTTTTCAATTTCATTAATTCATTTATTATAATTTATTTATGTATTTATTGTATTTTAATCCAGGTTGGTTCAGGAATGTGGGATCAGTGTTGGTCCATCCCGGCCTCAGAAAGTCTGCCTAGATAAAGCGAGAGTCCAGAGTGGAGCAGCTCCAGTCTGAGTGTTTACGTCCCACTCAGACTGAATACAGCTGACTGTACCTTTTGTCTCTGCTCTGCCTTCCTGCAGACCGAAGCCATTCGGTTTCGGGTCACACGTTTTCTTCCAGTCACCAGGGCAGATGTTAAAATATTTATCCTGCTTCCGTTCTGTGAACAAATTTACCTTTGTGGCTTTCTGAGACCTGTGGCGTTCGGACAATGCCGGCTCTTACGCCAGGCCTCTGTGAACTTTGTGCAACATTCTGGGTAATCAGACGAGAACGAGACGGCAAACCTCGCTTCCTTTCAGCGCTGCACACCTTCAGTGTTTTCAGAACATCGTCCACGTTCCCAAAAGTTGCCCTAAATAAAGAATGAAACACTGAAGAAATTTCCTTGATAGCATGTCCATCAACTCGGAGTGGGACGTCCGGGGTAAGTTTTGGTCTGCTGTGACTCAAACTTATAATTGGCAAAGTTTCTGTTTGTCCCTGAAGGAAATCTCTTGCTGATATGATTTGCATGTGTGACATGGAGGATTTGCTTCCCTGATTGATATCTCCTGTGGCTGCGTCTCTCCTTCAACCCTGGAGCAAGTCATTCTGTTGATGATTGACTGTTTGGGATTTGACTTAGAGGTTTTTACTGGTAAAATGTAACAGATATATTGTAGTTTAAAACCGTTTTTTTTTTTTGTTTGTGTGTGAAGGTCATTGTTTTTGTCCCAGTTGACTAAATATCATTACCAGAGACCTAAACGAGAAAAGTTTGCTAAAGGGAAAATTATTTTGTTTTATTCTGATTTATTGTGATGTGACAGCTAAGATTTTAGTTTCACGTAATTTGAATTGCTTGCATATATTTGTACATATTTGACTTTGATTTGAGGAGTTTGTCTGAATGAATTCTTCCTGGCATTATATTTTTAGAAAAACTACAGTGTGTTTTCAGATGTGAGCTTCTCTCTGTCCTCCATCTCCCTGGCACAGCTGATCCCAGAAACTGCACTGATCTGCTGGGAGCTTCACGCGCAACCGTGTCTCAGATTTACAGAGAGAGCACACAGAGCAGGAAATATCTCCTGAGCGGTGGCTGCGTGGGCAAAAAGTCCTTGTCGATGTCAGAGGAGAGAGGGCAGAAATGACAGAAAAGCAGCAAAAATAACCACCAGAAGTGTGCAGGATACCGAGTCTGGCCGAACATCGTGCTGATCCTTGAAGCAAATAGGCTACAGCAGCAGAAGACCAGGTGAGAACAGAAAAGACTCACAACATCTGTGATTGAACAAACATTGATTTCAGTTTTGGCATCAGATGAGAAGGTCAGAATTTGATTGGAAAAAGAAAAAGAAAAACAGAAAAAACTCTGGACAGACTTTGGGTCTTTAACTACCGACTGAGCAATTGCAATGAGTTTTCTGTTCTCCCGTCATCTTCAACCCTCTGCCCAGGAGACGCACGCCGCTGACACGCAGTCGACAGATCCGCAGCAGCTGTGTGACGCTGTCTTCTCAACGCGGACAACCATCTCTGAGGGATGTTTCTGACAAAAGTGGTCAGCGAGTGTTTCTGGTCAACTAGGGTCAAATATGAGTTTGTTGGCTCAGCTGCGCAGAATGAATTACAGTCTGAATTTAGTGGACAATAAGAAAACAGGAAGTTGAAAAGAATGTGAATGTGAGAAAATGTGAAGAAGTTGTAGAAGTAAATACTTTGGTCAAACACTGGAGCTTAATAAAACTGTGATCATTTGTTACATGCAATCAAATTTAATTTGTCAAACTTAATTTATTTACATTTGTTTAACATGACAACTTAATAAGCATAATTACACAAATAATCAAAATTTAATTACTTGCAGGGAATTAACTCAGTGTTTCGGCTTTTTTTTTAGTTGAATTACCAGGGTTTTTTTCAGTGTGTTGATGGAGGTAATGCAGACCCGACTATTCGATTTGTGGTCATGCAAACAGAAGCCAGCGTCTTTAAAAAGGCATATATTTTATTATTCAACGGTAACATTCTATTCTTCTATGACACTTTCAAGCATTACAACCTGGAGTCTCAAACATTTCAGGATTACAACTAAACTTTATTGATCATGAACAGTTTCGAGCTTCATACACAGTTTCGCATTCTATATGAATGTTGCAATGCATAAATAACACCAACTGTGCATCGCATCTCTTAATATGCTCACTCAGTACATTAGTACATGTGTAAAATGACACCTCGTACAAATATAGCTGGATTTCTTCTGAAGCGATGGAAACATCGCTTCAGTATCCTTCCTCACTGTAACAACAGTTATTGCAGCCAAATTGCACATACTCCTCTCTATATGTGGCAAAGTTTTCTTGGAAAAAAACAAACAAACAAACAAACAAACAAACAAAAAAACAGACAAAAACAAAGTAGAGCTGAGCAGGGTGTAACTCATTGTCGACAATTATCCGAATGCCGGTAATACTAGTCGTGGAAACGATTGCGGTTTTGAAAAACAAGCTCCTGTGAAATCGAAGTGCCTGCTCTGGGAAAACAGTTTGTGAATTTGGGAAGCCCACTTCCAGCAGTAAGGTAGTTCATCTCAAACATCTGGAACATCACAGCATGCAGAGTCATGCTCTTCAAATATGATATGCATAAAAACTAACTGTACTAAAAAAAAAAAAAAAAGCCTTGGTTGTGTGGCTGCGATCCCTCTTTAATAGCGGGATGTTGACGTCCATGGCTTTGCCCCTAAGTGACTCTGTGGGGAGAGAGTCTGCCAGACTTTCAGAACTTCATGCAGCTGTTCTTCATGGTTTCTGGTGACTACAACACGACCTCCCTCACATACACTTTCAGAAAAGAGCTGCTGACCTGTCCTTGACGGCTGCAGAGGTTTGAGCTGCTGTACTTTATGAGAACCGCATTCTCCTTTGACGTCTTGCTCTGAATTGCAGTTTGGTTGTTTTGTTTTTTTTTATCGACTCAGTCCTGCTATCTGTAACTCCATCCCTTTCACATACGCTGGTAATAATACATCGTGTGCCAAGTCATGGGGCTGACCCATAAACCATTGGCAACTCACACTGGTATTAACTGATACTAAATTTACCTGACATTGGACAAGGTGGATGAGTTAACATAAAAACTGTGTGTGTGTGTGTGTGTGTGTGTGTGTGTGCGTGCGTGCGTGTGTCAGTATAGAGCTTCAAAGACAAAATCAAGATCCAGTCCCAAAAGAAGATTTGGTGTTGAGTTTAATTGCCCGTGCAGACTGCCCAGTAATTTGATTTATGGCACATTCATGAGGCTTAAATAAGAGATAATACTTCACTACACATGCATGGATGCTGGTTGAACCCTTACGTCACCTTCCTTGAGGCGTTTCTAACACGCCTCTGTCATTTGGATCACAAGGGGGGAAACACCATTTTCCTACACTACGATGTGGTCCATTGTCTTTTGTAAACGTGTCAGAACTACGTTGGAAGCGAGAGTCTCAGCAGAGGCCTGGCGCAGATCTGTTGGGTCTTATCGATGTCACAGTGCATCGATAAGATGCACTCGCTGTTTAGTTGGGCTGGGACAGCCCCAGCGCTGTTGTGAGGGCAGCCGCAAGGAGGGCGGAGCTGACCAACAGTGCGGCACCTCCTGAGTGGTACACCAGCCGGCCGTGGAGAGGCTGGACAGGCCTGAAGTTGTTCACCATCCACTTGCCGTCATGGAAATGGACCGTGGAGAAAGCTTTTATCTGCAAGAGAAGATTGTTGCAAATGTGGAGCTGCGGATTGGGGAACAAGACTCAAAAGTGTTTGTTAAAATATCATCTCTTATTCTAACCTGGTCCTTGCTGAGAGGGATAGGGGTTTTGAACACAGTCCAGACCACAGCCTCGGAACACGGCGGGGTGGTCAGGGAGCCCTCGTAGCGGTAGTAGGAAGTCAGTTTCTGCTCAGGAGGGATCAGCTGTGCCAGGGAGATGGAGGGCAGAGAGAAACTGACATCTGAAAAGACAAACATCACCATGTCAGCCGCACTGCTATGCGCCGCCAAAGCTTTGAATTACATGCAGAAACTTTCAACTCCTACTTTTTGCTGCGATACTTTTCACCCCCTCGATGATGTTGTCATACATTCGGTTTGGACTGTTGGATTCCTGAACACAAACAGACAGACATGTGACAAGTCTCTTACTGTTATAAAAAATGTGAGCAAACTATGAAAGAGGGTTAAGAAGAATTACCTCATAGAAAAACCCAAGAACTGCAATCCCCTCTGGGTCTCTCAGGGCTGTTTTCAGGTCAGCGTACTGGTTCTTTATGTGAACAATGTGCAACTGAAAAGGGAAGTTTACTGCCGTCAACGTAAAGTTCACAGTTCAGCTGATGTCCAGGGTAGGCTTTTATACATATTTGTGGCGGTCTTTCACCTCCATGGGGTATTGCTCCCCGTCGATGGTGTGTTCAGAGCCGAACCTGCCGTCTTTGCCCCAGTGCAGGTGTAACTGCACAGCCTTGTACGTCTGCGGCAGCTCTCCGCCCGAGATGGTACTGCGTATCGGAATATCAATCTGAACTGGAATAGACACAGTGTGAGCACAAACACCTTCAAAGCTTTCAAAGGTCACTTGATGTTGCGCTCACCCGAGTGGCCGGTGTTGGTCATAGAAATTTTGAAGGTGTGCTGGTAGTATTTGAACTCAAGCGGGGTCAGACGCTCATCTCTCACTACCTTCCTGGTGATGATATTGACGGGCGACTGGGATTTTCCTCCACAGTCCGCCTTGCTAACGGCCCACTTCTCTGGTACTGAAACGTGAGGAATACCAGTGGTGACTGATTGGTGCTGGGATGTTTGAGGAGACGACGATCAATTTTCAATCTGCATTTGTTCCAGGACCATCAGATTAGGAGTACCACAGGGATGATCAACTAGTCCTTTGTTTTTCTCTGTATTTCTTTAAGCAATAAATTGGTTTGACTTTTGTAATGACCCATTCTTCTTATTTCAAAAATATGCTTATGACAGGGCAAAAAGGTAGTTCCAAAAAATGTAAACATTCATAGATTGATATAAGCAGGAAATCATTTTTAGCTTGTGATGTTATTGTACCCATGTTAGAGTCAGACTCTTGCCAAATAATCTTAACATGACAAGAACAGACTGAAGAAATCCAGTGGAATAGTAACAAATGACCTCAGTTTTAACATTTGTTTAAACCTACTGCTTAAAAATATGTTTCAATACTTTATTTACAAATGTCTGACAGATCAGAGCGTCTGTGTCCTGACCCAATTCTAAACATGCTAAACAGTTAAACAGTCACAATTTTACCTTAACTTCTTGTAAGAACTCACCGTTGCACGGATGATCGCAGGACGACTGGCTGTTGTAGCACCAGTCTGAAACGGAATCAACTGTTTAGTTACCAAACGTCTGCTTTTACTTTTCCGCGGTGAGCAATGCGAGCCGTCTGAATGTCGGTCACGTTCACCTCTGACTGACGTCAACAAGCTGCAGCCTTCTTCTCAGAGCTGAAAAGAAAGTTTTTATGTTGCCGTGTCTCCTGGCAGGAGTCCAGGAGGATTTTATGCACATAAAATTTATCACCTCCTATAACTGCTTTGCTTTTGCTTTGCTTCTGCAAACAGGGTATTGTCCTGGTAGATGCGTGCTCATGTTATTTATACTGTAAAGAAAGCTTCCTAATTACCAGGAACTGTGATCCTATTCAATAAAAAGTTGTCGCTTTGTCTTTCAGCCTAGTCAGAGTAAACATAGAGCTCCACCTCAAACTGTTTATCAATCATTTGCTATTAGCTTCCTCCTTTGCTCTGAGAAAAATATGTGGAAAATCAAATATTTATAAAAATGTAATATTAGGCTGAAGAATAATGGGGAGGGTCTCCTTCTTGGAGCAAACTGTTTAGGTCTTCAGTGCTTGATTCCGCTGTCATCCCGTTTAGTTTTGTTTCTGCTAAGATTTTGAAAATATGCAAAACCTTCGGGTCAAATAGTTAGAGAGGAAAAAATGTCTGTGATACGTGAGTGAAATATGACACAAACCACACTGTACAGCCAAGCTGAGCAAATGGTATCAATAGCTGTTTTCTATTGAAATTCTCAATCAGGACATGTTCGTTATTAATTCCCGTAAAAGATTTTCCACAATAAATTGTTTGATGTAGGCTACGAGTCTTAATGCCAGTCCACCAGTGGTGAAAAGAATAGGTGTAAAACAAACAAACAAACAAAAAAGCCTCCATGTATTAATCTATTATTAAAAGTCATGCTTTTTTTTCTTTTTCTTGTTTTTTTTTAATTAATCTTAAATACCTCATTTTATAAATACCCAAACCTACAAATACAGGAAATCTATTTGTCAGGAGGAGAATTGCACACCACTATTACCAACCAAGCGTTGGATCATTATGAAGTAATCTACAAGCCTCTTCAATTTCAAAATGTCTATTTTTCATCCTACTCGTTGTATCACTATGAGCCAATCAGATGTCGGTCCGCTCCAGCCCGGGACCAATGGGCGGTCTTATCCCAGAGCGGAGTGTCGGTGGATCTGAAGGCTGTTCGGGTGAGAAAGAAGCAGCGCGAAGGAAACAAACACGCTTCCAGTCTGGTCAGATCTGAAACTCCCTGAAATGTGAGCGCAAACGCAGCATTTCTAGCGCCATTGCGCCGAGCGCAGACACGAGTCTCTGAATGAACTGCGGACATCACGGAGCTGTCGACGCAACCGATTCGTTCTGGCGGAAATCTGCGCAACACAGACGCAGATGAACTTTCACCCGCATGACGTCGACAGAACGTCTGATTGAGCAGAACTTAGGCAAACACACACAGATAGAGGAAAACCAACGCTGCACCTGAACCTGAACACACCATCCTCTTGAAGAAACATGTTGGTGGCAGCATCATGCTGTGGGGATACTTTTTCTTTTCATGTGCCTGACATATCCATTATTAGGAATTTATCAAGGTTAGATCTTCAATCAATTGTGTTAATAATACTCTGTGATTGATGCAAACTGTTGTTTTATTTTCAATTTTTATTTTAATTTTAACTTTGCTGTAATTTGATCAAAGCATGACTATATGTTTACAACTATTAATAGGCGCAATGTGACAAAAGATTAATGTTTGCAAGACGCCACATCGACTATTTGTGATAATTCAGCATGAAAGCTATTGCATTCTTTCCTGTCGTCTTCTGAAATGGTTGCTATTACATTAAACACACTGTTCTCTGTGTTTGATGTCTCACTGCAAATATCTGGGACTCCAACAGTGAGTCTGTATTCATGCACAGCTTTGAGATTCTTGCGTTTCCTTTTCATTCTGCCCCATTAAAAACATCGCAAAATGACTGCAACTTTGGCCAAGTTGGCGCATCCTCAACAGCGGAAAATGGCAAGTAAAATTTGGAGAGCGCTGCCGCGCCTTTTATATGCGCAAAGCCCCGGAGGTCACAGAGCGGCTCAGTGCGGGATGACGGACACCATGAGGGGCTGCAGAGGGGCTAATTAGCTCCTTAATGACCCTCAGCTCTTCACGTGGGAATCGGTCTGACACGTTTGAGTCGCCTGCGCAATGTGATCTGACCGCTGTTCTTCATGCGTAATTTGTGACGCTCCAAACGATTTCGATCCCTTTTCGCGACCCGTCGCTGTTCATCTGGAGACGCGATCGTCGCGCACGACGCGGATCTATGCGGCAAACGCCTCTCCCCCCACCCCAATCTGTCACAAGCCGACGCCGCGCGGAACCGACTAGGTGCGCCACCAGAGAGAAAGAGAGAGAGAGAGAGAGAGAACGCTGTTCGACGTCCAAATGACGGAATCACAGCACGCGTCTCTGCCTCACCGGGAGGACAATGTGGCTGAGGGTAAGTGGATGGAGGGGGTGCAGGGGTCCCTCTCCTGCCCTCCCACGCAGCTCGCAGTCAGTTCAGGACGCAGTAAGGTGTGAATGTTGGACGCGCTTTGGAGAGCAACGTCCACTGTGATGGACGGGGCAGGTGCGGCTGTCCCGCTCGGCTCCTGGTAATTTTATCCGGAGCCATTCATCATGCGCGCACGTCTGCCTTGTTTTTTTTTTTTTTTAATTTTTAATCATCTCTCGCCCTCTCTTCTGTCTTTGTGGAATTAGAGAATATTCAAGCGTGGAACCAAAATCAGTCTTATTCTGCCGCCTCAATAAAAACAAAAAAACAAAACAACGACAAAGACAGGTGCACACATCCATCTAGTACAATTAACATCAGAAATGAGTGAGTACAGAAAATAATCGTGAGGATTATCAATCAACACAAAATATTTACTTTCTCAGCTGTCCCTCGATTCAGCCCCTCAAGTCCTGTTTTGCGCCAAATGAATGGAATCAGGTGTATTGACCTACCTCCTGCTCCGGCGCACACCGTGCAGAAGGATGCCAGCAGAACGGGGAGGATCAGCAGCCGCCGCATGTTGGAGCGTCTCTGAATGAGCCGAGAGAAAGCGACACAATGACTCGATTCCCTCCGATGTGATCGCATTCCTCAGGGCGGGCAGTGGTGGTGGAGGGTTTTATACTTAGGCCTATCTATCACCACAAAACCAAAGAAAAAGGCGAATGCGTGGCGCCTCCTCCTTTTCGAGTATCGCCTCTCTGCAGTGATCAGAGCCCGAGTAACAGGGGGCCCCATCAATGGGCCAACGGGGAGAGAGAGAGCCGGTAAAAAAACAAAAACAAAAAAAAAAAACAGAGGAACGCAATAGTTACTGGTTGAGTCAAGCACCTTCCTGATGATTTGTGATGACTAGAAAGACTTTATAATGACCAGGGGTGAAAGTAGTTTTACGTTATTGATATATATATATATACATATATATATATATATATATATATATATACATATATATATATATATATATATATATATATATATATATATATATATATATATATATATATATATATATCTCAAATGGTGCTATAAAGGCTGACAAAGTTGATCATGTTGAAGAAAGTCTCATCAGCATCAATATTTCCACTTAAGATAGTTTGATGGAAGAAAAACCTCCTCAGGCTTTGAGCTCAAAGCAAGACGCCAGAGAGCCTCAAACTATAGGTTTCAAAACATTAAGACAGTTAATTCAATTTCACATCATTTTCGCGGTAGGAGCCACTTATTTGCCTGGTAGGCTATTTAATGAAACACATGGACCGACTTTGACGCTCGTACGGTAAACTCGCAAACTAACGAGGTAATTAGTCCAGGTCTGGTCGTTTGTTGAACGTTGAGAAACTACAAAGGTAAATAATAATGGTAATAATAATAATAACCTGAAACCACTCCTATCCTTTTACTCTTCGCCTCTCTTCGTCGGTTTAAGCGCACCCGTTGCCGTGGCAACCGCCTGCGCCCCGCCAGCCGAGCAGAGATTACGTCACGCATCAGGTTTACAGGCTTGATAGTTATTTTGCGTTAATTAACAAGCGCTGTCATGGGCACAGCGGTGGTTGGTGAGCTAGTTTTAAACTCCTGCTCTGCTAGTGAAAAAAGTCGCCCTTTATTTATTTATTTATTTATTAATTATTATTTAGGTAATGGAGCATTGTTGAAATAGCCTAATAATTACTGAGGTTATTATTTTTGCTGTGTCCTTCATTTGAACACGTTGTGTTGAATTTTTATCTAGTTTTTGTTGCTGTTGCTGTTCTTGAATAAAGTTACAAACGTTTGGTCGAGATAGATGGATAGAGCATCGATCAACACATCGACGTATTGAGCATCGATCAACACATCGACGTATTGAGCATCGATGTAGCAAAGCACGAACAGTTCCGAAAAAAAAATTATATATATACAGAAACTCACAAGTTTATATTTATTATTATAATGATTTTCATCAAAAACGTGTAGAAAGTGTGACAACTTTGCATAAACTGTTTGACCTTTCACGGTGCCAAGGTAATAATTAATGATGCACATCATCTGAAGCCCTGACAAGTAGGCTGGAGAAAGGTTTTAAGGTCGAGCCTCGTTATATATTCAGGTGAGCTTTACTTTCTTGAAACTTTGTGGCTAACATTAACTTTAGCTTATTTTTCTTGTAAAAATGTGCTATTTATGTATCTAAACATTTTAACCAATTCTAAATGACAATGTTTTGGGGTTTTTTTCATGTTTTTTTTTCTTATTTTGTTCTTATTTTCAAGTATATTATATGTGTTCATTGGTGTTAGTGTCAGAGACCAAGAAACAGGAAGAGATTACGATTCGGCCTTTTTGCCTCCGAAGCCTGAGGAAGCACAACAAGGCCCACAACAGTGAGCAGCACTGATAATTGTCAGAGTTCGAGGTCAGCTGACTGTTCAGGTTCAAAGTTGTTGCTTTTGGAAAAATATGGCCGTGTTCCTTAAGGTCTCCGTGTTATTTCGTTTCATTGCTTTTGCATGCTTGTTGTGTAGCAGGTCAATGTTTACAGCGGTGTGTACAGGCGGATCAGTTGCTGTCTGACTCTGGTCTGCTCACTCGTTCCCATGCACTTGCTCTTTCAGGCACGTGCACGGAAAGAGCAAGTTCTCTTGCTCTTTCCATGCACTTTTATAACACAGTGACAATTCCTTTATTTGCCATTTGTCTCGCCCCTGTAGTTTTAGGCTGAATAAGCTGATCCAGAGTGAAGGCTGCAAACTTTGCTGTGCGGCATTAGCTTTAACTGACAATATTTACAAGCCACCGTCTTCTTAATTCAGGATTGTTTGGAAATCTACGAAAACTTAAAAGCCCGTTATATTAGAAAGACAACAATATTCATAGTATTGATCTATTTGCGTTTGAAATATGACTTTATTTTTTCTGGCTGTCGCGGTAACTCAAAGCGGAAACAAGAAAGTCGCATTTCGCTCATGCGGATGTGACGACAGCACGCTACCTGTGAGGAGACCATTATAAGAGGCCCGAAAAAGAGTTTGATTAGGGGCCCTGCTCCCACCATGCTGGTGTGACCCAGTCCAAAAATAAAGGTGCTTTGTATTGAGTTCATGAAAGATATAATAATTTATTATGTGTTAAACCTGTTTGCTTAAAAATGTTAAAATTGTTATAAATAAGTGTTAACAAAAAATCTGTACTTACAGATACTTGAAGTAATATTGCACAATAAGTTAAATGAAATTGGAAAAATTAACTTAAAACCATAAAATAGAAAAGTATTCTTCAACGTATTTTATTTTGAAGGGCTCATGTTTGCAAGCGGATTCAGGAAGTGATCAGCATTGATGTCTGCACGCGCATTACCACAAGATAGGACGGATTTAAGAGGAGCACAGATGAATAGAACACTGGCCCTCGAGGACCGTCTTTGGGCATTCCTGCTTTACTCTATTTCTATCTGGCTGTTACTGTCTCTTACTCTGCTGTTGTGGAGTCACAATGTCTGGGATCATGAGCGCCCCCTGCCATGAGGCAAGAGAACTGCCTGCCTCACCTCGAATCTGTTCTCTGCCGTTTCTGATCGCTTCTCTGCACATGAAACTTATTACACACACAGTTGGTGACAAAAAACACTGTACATTATAAACATGAGCTGAATTATGGAAAATCGGTTCATATATTACATGTTTTTTAACCATTTCATTGGTGACGTACAGACAGGAGGAACATGCTCTCATATAATGGCAGTCAGTGAGAGGTTGATCAATCCCAGGTGAGGCTCAGCTTGCTGCTACCTCACCGGCTTCTGAGCATTTGAATGGGAAAATGGAAAAATTCACTGATTTTGGAGAAAAAAATAATCAAAACTGGTTAAGCTAAATACAAAATAAATACTTTAGAGTACAAACCACAGGGTGAAAATAGCAATTAAAATTATTATTATATTTTTCCATTATGACAGATGAGGCACCTGCCTTACTTGCCTACCCTGACCGCAAGTCACTGGTAACTATGGCAAGGAGTGACCGTTTAAAAGCCCACTAACTCTTTCTGCAGTTAGGTTGCATGCGCATCCACCCGACAAGTCTGCTTTGAATATCAAATGAAACTGTGACATCACAGTATAACTCCAAAGGCAGAATTCTGACATCAGCAGCGAGCATATAAGCGCGTCACATCAATCTACTTTCATCACAACCTGTTAGCAGCCGTTGTTGATACGTTCTTCTTGAGAGTTTATTTAGCAGTTCACAGTAAGATTTTCATCTTTGTTTGGTGCACATTTCTTTTGGACATTGACATCAAACTTAACATGAAATCTTTACCGAGTTTCTAGTGAAGTGATTTTGATTTTAAACCTGAAACAAGCAAAGGTTACAATGCAGTCCAACCAGTCTAGAGTCGAAGAGGTTGCATCCGACAACATTGTCGAAAGGGAATTACAGCCACCCAAGCGCAAGAAGTAGTTGCCGTTTGCACTCTTGTTGGAGCAGTACGCACCTGAGGAGCTTAAGATTTCTCCTGAAAAGATGGAACAAAAAGACGCTTCATTGGTGATTGAAAATGAATCGATCGCCAAAGTACTGGAGACAGTGGATCAAAAAGGGGACAGCCAGCCACCTGAGAGTGAGTCCAATGAGAAGAACCAGGTACCATTTATATATATATGTACGAGACATCAATGCTATATATATTCCTCATCCAAGATTGATGGATGGATGGATGGATCCCATCAATCCATGATGGATGGATGGATGGATCCCATCAATCCATGATGGATGGATGGATGGATCCCATCAATCCATGATGGATGGATGGATGGATCCCATCAATCCATGATGGATGGATGGATGGATCCCATCAATCCATGATTGATGGATGGATGGATCCCATCAATCCATGATTGATGGATGGATGGATCCCATCAATCCATGATTGATGGATGGATCCCATCCATCCATGATGGATGGATGGATGGATCCCATCCATCCATGATGGATGGATGGATGGATCCCATCAATCCATGATGGATGGATGGATGGATCCCATCAATCCATGATTGATGGGATCACCCCAATCTGCCAATCCAGGGATGGATGGATCCCATCCATCCATGATTGATGAATGGGATCCATCCATCCGATTGATGGATGGATGGGGTCATGCGCCCTCCAAGACCCTGCTGAGGGTGTAGAGCTCGTCCAGAGCATCGATCCACACTGCTCTTCCTGAATCCGAGGTTCGACTATCCAACGGACCTTCCTCTCAAGGACCCCCGAATAGACCTTGCCAGGGAGGCTTAAGAGTGTGATCCCTCTATAATTGGAGCACACCCTCCGTTCCCCCTTTCTAAACGGGTACCATCACCCAAATCTGCCAATCCAGGGATACTGCCCCCGATGTCCATGCGATACTGCAGTCGCGTCAACCAACTCAACCCTACAACATCCAGAGCCTTAAAGGACTCCGGGCGAATCTCATCCATCCCTTGGTCCCTGCCACCGAGGAGCTTTTTAACCACCATGGCGATCTTTTCCCCAGAGATTGGAGAGCCTAACCCAGAGTCCCCAGGCTCAGCTTCCTCAATGGAAGGCATGTCGTTGGGATTGAGGAGGTCTTCAAAGTACTCTGCCTACCGGCCTACAATGTCCCGAGTTGAGGTCAGCAGCACACCAGCCCCACTGTAAACAGTGTTGATGCTACACTGCATCCCCCTTCTGAGACGCCGGATTCTGGACCAGAATCGCCTCGAACCCATGCGGAAGTCTTTCTCCATGGCCTCTCTAAACTCCTCCCACACCTGCGTTTTTGCCTCAAAAACCACCCGAGCCGCATCCCGCTTCACCTGCCGGTACCCATCAGCTGCTAAAAAGGCCCAATAGGACTCCTTCTTCAGCCTAACAGCATCCCTCACTGAAGGTGTCCAACAACGGGTTCAAGGTTTGCTGTCACGACAGGCACCGACAACCTTGCGACCACAGCTCTGATAAGCCGCCTCGACAATGGAGGCACGGAACATGGTCCACTCAGACTCAAACACGTCCCACCTCCCCCGGGATGTGTTTGAAGCTCTGCCGGAGATGGGAGTTAAAGCTCCGTCTCACAGGGGTCTCCGACAGACGTTCCCAGCAGACCCTCACAACACGTTTGGGCCTGCCAGGTCTGACCGTCATCCTCCCCCTCCACCGGAGCCAACTCACCACCAGGTAGTGGTCAGTGGAGGACTCCACACCTATCTTCACCCGAGTGTCCAAGATATACGGCCTCAGATCCGATGAAACAATGACAATGACAGTGGATCTGATTTGTCCGGATCCACCTGGTCCAGACCAAACCCCTGTCATCGCTGGAAATATCTGAGGTGCATGTTCAGACATTAGGAATACACAGTCTTCTGTCTGGAAGTGCAGACAGAAACTTGGATATGAAATGAATGAATAAAGAGATTGGATGAATGAAATGGGAGGGTCCTGGAGATCTGACATTTCCTGCATCTTTCAGAGTGGAAAGATGTCAAGCATCTTTCAGAGTGGATGTGGAGAAGCCTCTCCTTGATGACATCTTGGTGGTGGAGTCTTCAGCCCTAAATCCCCTTTCTGTTGGTGTGCTACTACAAGCCATAGTTATTCCAAATAGTGCTGTGGAGGTGAATCAGCTGACCTTATTGTTCCAGAAGGAATCCTGGAGAGACATAACAGTTCCAGCTGACACTGTTGTGGAATGTCTTTGCATCACTGATGTTGTCACAACAGTGTCCAAACAAAACACTGTATGTTCAGGATTTAATGCAGGTCCAATAAATTTTGGAAAGTCACCTCTTCCAGAACAATGGAAACAAAAACTTTGTCAGAATATGTCTGAACGAGCATCTGTCTTTTCTCTGGATGAGCTGGATATGGGACTCACTAAGGAGGTGGAGCACGCAATTAGATCCCCGCCCATTTGGAGAGCGCTCCAGACGCTTCGGTCCTGCAGACCGTCATATACAGAAACTGCTAGCTGCAGGCATCATTAAAGAGTCTAAAAGCCCAAATGCATCTCCCGTTGTAATTGTGACAAAAAAGAATGGAGATGTGAGGATGCGTGTTGATTATCGGACACTTACCAGTCGAACTGTGCCTGATCAATACACCACTCCCCGCACTGATGAAGCTCTTGACTGCCTCTCTGGTAGTCAGTGTTTTTCAGTCTTAGACTTGAGGTGTGGCTGATGTCAGATAGCTATGATGGAAAAGGGCAAAGAAAAAAACAGCTTTTATTTGCCCTCTAGGATTTTATCAGTTTGAGAGTATGCCACGGGAGCCATGGTGCAAGCAAGTCTAATTATGTCTTTCTGGCTGAGTACAAACAATTGGAGCTAAGGTTGCAAGTCGTTTAGACCAAGTACAAAGAATGGGTGGAGAGGAAGCAGATTGGGTAGGCCACTAAAGAACAGTATGGGGTCTCTTTCACACTCACCAAGAACACTACAGGGCAGTAATAAAGAATTACAGTCACTCATTAACATCTGCTCTATCTCATGACATCAATAGCTACCACCCGCTACGGTCAGAGGTGTGAAATTAATTATATATAAACCTCCTCCCCTATTCGCCCCACCCCCTATTTTTATATTCATAATTTGTCATAAATTTTGATTGAAGAGTGTACCTAATATCTGGATAAATGTCAGGTGAAATATGTTGGTCACATAGTGTCTGCAGAAGGTGTTTCAACTAATCCAACAAAAATTGAAGATGTTCCCACATGGCCAATGCCTACTGATCTGAAGACCCTGAGGTAATTCTCAGGATTTTGTGGGTACTACCGAAGGTTTACCCAGAATTATTCCTCCATAGTTCGTCCATTGACTGACCTGGCTAAGGACCCACGCAGCGTGGGAGAAAGCCCAAAAAAGGAGAAGCTAAAGTTTTTTTGGATAAGCTATTCTGAGAGAGGTGGTGGGCGACGGGTTTAACAGGAAGCAGGACAAATTATTATAAAAACCGCCTTCCTCAGACTTGAATAATCTAATCATCATTTAGCTTCAATCTAAAGATTTTTCTAATGTTTTTGATCTTTTCAGTCAGGATGTTTTCATTCACTCGCTCTGATGACTCGTCATTTTGTACGAATTTATGTAATTTAGGAAAAAATCCTAATCTAATTCAAGCCGGATTGAAATTAGACCAGATTTAATCAACACAATGACCAAACAATGAAGACATTTAGGACATATTCACCTTTAAACTGCTTGCATGATGGGAAACTTCCCACAGGTGTCAACCACCTGAACGGTTCACAGGGCGGATGGGAGGCACAGCGACCCATGGGACGTTGACAGCCCTATTGGACTCATCAAACTACAATTTAAAACCTCACCAAGGATGAGAACTGAGGAAGTCTTTTTCCTTTAATAATCCTTTAGTGTAGAACATTTCAATAAATTTTAAATCTATTTAAACTTGACAATCAAACTCTTGTAGAAACCAGTTTAAATTTAAGCGGAGTATTTATGAAACCGATCCCATGTGATGAGCTCTCTGTGACTCGGGAGGGATCGGCTCCGCTTGCACACACCTGAGAGAAATGTGTCGAAAACTGTAGATTTTCAGCCATGTAAATGGCCGTAGTTTGCAAAAAAAAAAAAAAAAAAAAAATTGCAGCACTCTTAGTTGAACTTTTCCAACCATAAAAAGTTAGGAGCTGTCACCATTTATTTTCATTCACCTTGTGGAGACCTAGATTAGCCTCAGCTTGAATTATTGAGCATGCTGAGTTAACATGAAACAGCAGTTCCTCTTGAAAGTATGACTTGACTTGTTTCACTTCTGGAAAAAAACGACACGCTTCTGAGTAACTGGAATGAAACTCCGCTGAAGTCCAGTCCTCATGCGGCCGACGCCGGATATTTACACACATCGAATGACGTTTTCATCTCACTGTCTGAAGTTTTCTGTTTTTAAGTTAGTTAGAATTAGCAAAATTATTTATATTTGCTAAATGCTAGAAAATGTGGTCACATCAAATTTTTTTTGAGATGATTTAAAATTTTTCCCTGAATTCAAAGTTTACATGCATTAGGTCAGAATCATGGATTGCTGTGAGACTTTTTAAACATCATGAGACTCATGCAGATTAACTTCTACTTTCCTTATAAATCTTCCAAAAAAATCCCCCAAACTTTTTTTTTTAAATAGAGGAACTCGATTCACTCCTACCAGAACAAGTAATGGAGTTAAGAAATACCTAATTGTAAAGTCATGTAAAACTCTTGATTTGATTGGTAGACGCTGCTGAGTTTGCTGTGGGGCACTTGTGCTTCTGCTGGTGAATAAACGCCATCTAGTGGCATCGGGAATCGATGCAGCTTCCACTCAAGACTAAACAGAAAGGGGGAAAAAAAAATTCTGTTAAGCTGGGATTATTCCATGTTTGTCTAAAAAAAAAGAAACATGTAGGAGAAAATGAGTTGATGTTTAAAACTGAGGGTGTTTATGCATGAATTTTCTGAGCTCAGTTCACCTTGACACTCTGCATCTGGTCTCTACCTGGCAAGAGCAAAGCTATTGCTGAAAGCATCCCATAGGAAGTCCTGTTTACGGTTTCCAACAAGCCATGTAGGGGGCGCTGCAAACTTGGCAGAGTCTCATCAAATTAGATTGAAATGTCATTTTTGTGACCCAGAGTACCATTTATGGCAGAAAAACACTTCGAATCACCCTAAACACATCATCTGCCTGTGGAACATGGTGGTGGAAGCATCATGCTGTTGCAGTGTGGTAAGAAAACCTGAGAGAGACTCACTAAGGAGTTGGGTTGATGTTTACCTCTGGGGGACGACATGACCATCTGATCAAAGCGTAATCATGTCTTGGAATGACCTAGTCAAAGTCCAGACCTTCATAGAATTGAGAATTTGTGGCAAGCCTTTAAAAGAGTCTCTGGATGTGCAAACTTCCAGCTGAAATTAGGCAGATTTTGCTCCATCGTAAGGTGTTTCTCTTGACTCAGGAGGGATTAATAAAAGAAACTTTTCAAAATTTGTAAAAAAAAAAACAAAAAATTGAAAATCTTTATTTTGATGGTCTGTTATGTTAAAAACAGATTAAAGTTTGTGGTTGTGAAAAGGTTGTGGAGGTCAATATTGAATCAAGATGATTTTATTTCACCCTGTCAAGTGTTGAGGGTCTCAATATAAAAATGAATGCTTACCTATTGGGATAAATACGAGGCAGCTGTTTTCACTAGAAGTGTTTAAATGGCTGAGGGTTTTGGGAGTCAGTGATTCTTCACAGATGCCGATCGAGTTGATATGATGGTTTATTTTTAACCCTTGGGATTTCAGTTTTACAGTGCATTTTCTTTACAACAATTATTAGGTAATGGGGTTTACCCATCACTACTGATCAGATAAGAGCTTGTTACATTTTCGCCTTGGAAATTTCGACTTCGATATCGTGCAAAAATAACATCGCAAACATCACACAATGGATGGTTAATTAACGGTTTGCTAATTCAGTTATATCCCATCATTGTCTTTATCTAAACTCAACAATTTGTTAATCTTAATTTAAATCAGTGTTATTAAGCAGCTAAGTATTTGCACCAATAAATCATACACAGACGTGGCCAATTAGAAACCTGCTGCTGTCCAGAAGAAAAAAAAAAGGCTTTTAAAAGTAGACAAAACCAAATATGGCACTATTGATTCAAGAAACAACCAGTAGACACGAAAACATATTTTTGAGTGGGAGGAAAGAGGTGGGAGAAAAAAGAAAAAAAGAAATCTGGGTGTTCTGTATCCAGTTCACAAGCTTGAGATATTCAGACGAGAGTTTCGGCATAAATTCGCCACGGAAAAGCCGCCAGCACCTTTCGAATCTCACATCCTTACTCCCGTCTTCCTCCTTCCTCTCAGCCGCCGTCTCCGAAAACAAGCGGCGGCGCTCAGGACGTCCGACGCCGCGACACGTCCGCGGCAGGGCGAAGGAGCGACAAACACAGAACCACGTTGACCGTGCAAACACAGAAGGTCTGAGAACACGTGGCAGAGACAAACACTTAAAGGACTCCAGCGAGAACGGAAACGGATCCAGTCTTCCCCAGCACGCGTTACATTCCGGCTCTAAGGAATAACATGCGTTAGAGTAAACAGCAGATTTCTCCCTTTTTGCTCAAGTTTGGTCTCCCTCAAATACACAACAGCTAGTAGTGCACAAAATAAAAATACAAAATTAGACTTTTAAATACTGTAGCAGCATTTTTTTTTCTTTCCTCTTTTAAAGTTGCCTCCAGTGGTACTGGTAGAGGACGTCGGAGTCCCCGACACGCGAAGGTTGAGCGATTGTCCTCTGGAGAGCGAGACGGAGTCCAGCCAGAGTGGTGGACAAAGGTGGTGGACAGAGACGGGACGCCGTGTCGGGGCGGAGAGACGGGGAGGGGGGCAGCAGGACGCTGCAGCGCTCCGGGCTGAAAAAAAATGTCCCAACAGCATCATCGTCACCTCCGCTTCCCGCTAACCTGCGTCACGCCTTCTAATCTCGAGCGCGTCTGCGATTCAAGACAAACGTCTCTTCCTCGTAGCCCCTCCGAAGCCTTGACGACGGCGCGTCGAGGTCGCCAACGGGGTGTCGCTCTGCTCCAAAGCGAGCAGGGCGGAGCAGAGGTGGTGCCGCGCGTCGCTGTGCGTCCTCTCAGCTGGACGCCGTGGCGATGGCCTTCTTGAGCTGCTGGCTGCGGATCTCGCGGGTGCGACACTCCAGCAGGTGGTCGTGGCAGGTGTTGCACACCAGCACCGGGTCGTACAGCTGCTGGTCCGGGATGGGCAGCTTCAGGTGGCAGCAGTCTTTGCAGAACACGTTGCCGCAGTTCCTGCAGGAAAACAAACAAAAAGCCAATGGTGCTAAGTGTTTGTGCTTAGCACAATCACACAACGGCGTTGTGTGATTGAGGAGAACTGCACCAAAACGAAGCCTCCATGTCTTCGATAACTAAAAAGATTCAAGACCTTTTAATGCTGCTTGAAATAAATTTTATGGTGCTCTGACTGCAGGTTTATAGATGTTTTCCAGGTGAAAACAAACAAGTCAGTCAACCAATGTATCTAGCAGCTCGGATGCTAAATGATGTATTTATGGATCAAACATTACATTTTTTTTCAATCAAATTTCCTAATAGTGGTGCAGAGATGATAGCGGACATAATCAGGCTTTTTGGAGAAATTACAGGCGGTGATTTTAAAGAACAGCTGCGCATTTAAAACACTTTTGAACGACAAACTCTACTTGTGTGCATCATTCCAAAAAGCCCCTGTTATAAATAAGCTGCTGTACACAAACAAAAAGTAGTAAGAGTTTCATTACACACATTTTAATATGGCCGGAAAAACTGTTCATCCCAGTGCAAAAACCTTTTCTCAAAAAATAAGTATTTTTGAAATTTCAATTTGCTCGATTCTATTGTCAAAAGAAATGCTGGTTACACGGCAGAGGACTCTGTCTACTAGCTTGGTCACTTCTGAAGGTAGTGGGTCGCACTGGATACTTTAGCGGCATTAGAGTAAAGACGGTAAATTCAAGTTTCGGCTTGTAATGACTCTACATCTGTGGAAACTGAATCAGTGTCGTCATATTTACTGATATAAAACCCCACCTGCAATGGTGACGCCTCTTGGCGATCCAGAACTCACAGTCACAGTTGAAGCAGTGAGAGGCCATGTGGTCGGGGACCCACCTGGTCACCTGTACACACGCACGCACGCACACACACACACACACACACACACACACACACACACACACACACACACACAGAGTGGAGGATGTCAGGAGCTGCTCCTTGACAGAGTCAGAGAGTCGGGATCTGTGTTTGTGAATGAAAGTCGCTGACCTCCGTGTCTTTGGGTTCGACTCGATCCCAGCTGCCCTCAGACAGACGGTCCTCGCTGTGGGTGGACAGAGAGTCCTCCTCGTTGCTGTTGTCCGACTCCCGCAGACACGTCTGGAAAACGGCGGACATTTTAGAGGACACACAGTAACACATTTATCAAAATGTGATGTTTATCGATTGTTTCATAATTGGTGACTGGACGATGTGCTTTGAAATGCCACGTCGCTCTTCAAAGAAACTTGACCAGAAAAACTGAGGAAATATTTATGAAATCTGCAGAAAGAAGAATGAAGGAGAAGAAACTCACGATGTCGTCCTCGTAGTCGACGTCTGGCTCGGAGGGTGGAGTGCTGAACTGTTTGCTCTCCAGCCTCATCTGCAGTTGCCTCACCTGCTGCCGCAGCACCTCCACCTCCTGCTTGTATCCGGCCTCGATCTGCCGCAGCCGTTGCTGCACGGCGTCCAGCGGAACCGGCAGCCCGTCGTCATCCAGGTATGCCGGTGCGTGGGGCGGAGGCGGCGAGCTGGAGGCCGGCGGGGAGGAGTACGACGCCTGCAGCAGCTGGTGGGCCGCCAGGGAGTAGCTGAGGCTACGGGCGCCGCTGGAGCAGCAGAGCGCCTCTCTGCGGCAGCACTGCGAGCCGCTGGCGGCGGCGAAGCCCTGTGAGCGCAGGAGCTTACCCAGCAGCCGGCGGCTCTGGTAGCTGCTGGGGTATCTGAAGCTAGACTGGCCCAAACCCGGGACGGGGACGCTGTCCCACGGGGAGCCCAGCAGAGGCAGGTCGGACAGCTGAGAGGTCAGAGGTCGGACGTCGGAGTCGGTGTGAGCAGCGGTAATCGTCAGCGTCCTCCCTCTTCCCTTCGCCGGTTCCATCCTTGAGCCGTCCTTGTCTTTCTGCGGTGCCTCGTCGTCACTGGAGCGGCTCCGATGGAGCAGAGGGAAGGCGGCCGGCGGCTCGGCCTCGTCTGTCAGCGTCTCCGTGGAGTCGTCCATGCTGGCCCTTTGCTGCCTCGCCACCAGGAGGCCACCGGGCTGCGGCAGCCCGTCAGCCTTGCCGTCGCCATGTCCGTTGGTTAGTAAGGTGGAGGCCTTGGCCGCAGGCTGGGTGTTTTTGCATGGCAGAGGTAAGCAGGGCTCTGGTTTGTGGGATGGGGAGGCGGGTTCTGGAGTCCCAGCCGGACTCTCCGCTTCCAGCGGAGGAGACGGCAGCGGCGGGCTGGGAGTCTGAGGCGACGCCTGGTGGAGGACTGGAGTGACGAAGGCAGTCTGTGAGAGGGTGGGGGTGTCGCAGACGGGGGGGAGGGGTGGAGACGGCAGAGGCTGCGTGGTCAGACAGGGTTCTTCCTCCGCTCCCGATCCGCTCTTGTGGTTCTGGTCCAGACCCAGACCGGCTGCCGGCGGTGGCGCCTCCTCCGCCCCGTCAGTCAGGTCGTCCTCAGAGCGGCCTGCAGACGGGTCGTCCGCCGCAGCTGAGGGCTCCGGGGCCGGGCGGCCCTCCTGGCAGTGCTTGTTCAGGTTCGGGTCACTGGAGGTCCGGGTCAGAGGAAGACCGTTCTCCAGAGCGGACAGCAGGTTGTCCATGGAGCGAGTCTTGGGAAGTCTGGACAGGAAAGGCGAATTATTTCTCCCACAATTTCGTATTTGGGACACTAGAGGGCAGTATAACTCCGTTTTCATTTCCCTTAAACTTTTTTGTTTTTTGACCCGACAACTTCAAACTTTAATATACTTTTGTTTTTATGATTTTATCACAAAAAACCAGCACAAAAATCAAGATTTCTCCATTTTCCCACAGTAAAATTCTAGAACTTTTCACGGTAAATTTGTTAAGTTTAAAAAAAACAACACAAATGAACTAAAATTGACAAGTTTCATTTGTGATGTCATTTATTTCTGTTATTAATAATGTCTTGTGATATTATTCTACATTGCAAGGACAAGTAAGTTAAAATATAACATTTTATGTTTTGAAAAATTTCTCACACTCAATGCAAGAAATTCATCTGAAAACAAAACACTAAACAAAGATTTTAATAATGTATAAAATATAAGCTCACCTTCTTTTCAATCACACAGATCAATAACTCATAGCCATTAAGAATAATAAATTAATGTAATAAATTAAAATTAGCTCAATAATTCTGATGATTAATGTTTTTTGAAGGGAAATGTTCTTTTTTTTAGTCATTGCAAACCATTTTGTTTCAGTTTTAAGTGTTTTTTTTTTTTTTTTTCCATTTTATTTATTGGTTTTGGTTGTTGTATTTTACTTTCCATATTTCAAATATTTTCCAGTGTTTAATGTTCAGCTGCAGTGAGACTCAAGGAGGCTGAATTCACATGCATGGCAAACATTTTTCACATTTCACTGCAAATTCATGCGCTACTTAGTTCTGGTTTATTGCCACATTAAAAACCCAATATAATAAATTGAGGCCTGTGGTCATAATGTGGTGAAACGCTGGTTTGTGGGGCTGGGAGTTCGCAAAACATTAAAGAGGCATAAATACTTTTGCAAGGCGATAAATAGTGAACTGTGAACGTACCTGTCCAGTGAGCGGGAGGTGAGCTCATCTCCAGTGGCACATGGGGGGAGGTAGAGCTCCACAGACTCGTCCACTGCTGTGCAGGGGGACGAAGTGGGCAGGTAAACAGCTGTCCACAGCTGTAAGGCCCGCGTGTGGCAGACTGGCTGCAGCACCTGGCAGACAAGAGGCGGAGACAAACCCGGCAGCTCAACAGCAAGTCATGATTATGGATTATTTTGTAATTTGTTCCCCAAAGACACAAAAAAATCCTTTTTTAAATAACAGGAAGTTAGATGTGGAAATACACAACTAAGGCAAACCTGCAAAAACATTTCAGATAATCAGAAGTTTTTCAGCTGTAGTTCAGCAGTACAGTCGGTATATAATACAAAGTCTGGTATTACCACATCGTGACCGGGAACGTAGAGGAAATTCTGGAAGTTCTTGTTTCCCGCGCGGAGCAGCGACCACACAGAGCAGGTGCGCTTGTAGATGTTCTTTGCTTCTCGCTCTCGAGCGTTGTTGCACAGAAATGTGCCGTAAAGACAAGAGTAGGTGTGCTGCACCAACTTGACCTGCACGAAGGAGGAGGACGAGTCACGCTAGGCCTTTTCAGGACATTTTGTCTCTCTTGGCGCCAAGTGACGGCTGAGTAGCGTAAAAACGTTCAAACCTAAAACAGGATTTCTGCAGGTTTCACCAACACAAATTTCTGACTTCTCAAGACCTTATTAAGAGAGTTACGCATGTAATTTAAGACACGTATCACGACAAAAATGTTCAAAAGAAAATTGCATATTTTATAAAGTTCTTGTGGTGGCAAATTTTTTTTTTTTGTGAAATGATGCAGCCATCAGTTCAGCGGAAGCGAGCCAGCGGCGAAGACGAACTTTGTCCAGATTCCTGTTAGCGTTACGTGACTTGCACTAAGTTTATGAAGCAGAAAATCAGTTTTTTTTCCTGCACAGCTAATCTTCCCATGACTCACTTAAGTCACAGAAGTATTCCAATAATTAATGTAATTATTACATTTGCTTTAACTCGTAGCGACACGCTGAGGCTGACCTGAAGAGGCTCCTGCAAGTGCTACTGTTGCTCTTGTAATACTGGATATGCAGTTATTTTATTGCTCTTTCAGGCACTTGAATGCCTTTGACTAGAGCTGAAATTCATCTGTAAATATGTTCTACCCAGAACAAGTGGGAAAGTTTTAACTTAACCTGGTTCAAATTCAGAAACAATAAATCTCCTGTAAAGTTCCTTTGGCTCTCCAATTTTTCATCACTTATTCAGAAACATAATCAGCAGCTCAGCTCTACACTTTATTTATGTTAAGTCAAGCAGAGTTTTTCACATGAGCATCTTTCTTATCTGCAGATAATGATCAAGCATTCACTGCCAAAATGTTGTGTTATTGGATTAATGCCAGAAAAGGTTTTTAAAAAAAAAAAAAGAAATTGAATTGTTTATTACTGTATTTCTAATTTTGTTTAGAAAAGGCTTAATTTAGAATAATTGGCCAATTTTTTGATGTTATTGATGGATTGTCAGAATAATCAATAACTAAAATCACGGATTGCTGGAGTTAATGATTTGAATGGAGTATTTGATTGGCAATCAGTGTGACACTTCATGACGATCTGGCTCAGTATGGAGGACAAAATGTCTTCATTCGGACATCTATAATACTTTCACTAAATTCAAATCAACACAATCTCAATTTCTCGTTTCTTTGTTTTTCTCGATTTCATGGTGAAATGCGCAGGGTGGAGAGAGCTGGGTGACCACCCACCAGGAAGGCCTCGTTGAACTCGAACAGGCAGGGGAACTGTTTGAGCAGCTGGTGAACGCAGTCCAGCCACTGCAGGAAGACGGGACACTGCTCGCTCACATCGTCCGCGTTCTCCTGATGGCCGCACCGGTCCCCGAACTTATGACCGTAGTCCAGCCAGTCCGTCTCCACAAGCACCTGAAAACCCTGTGGGGAAAAAAAGTTATCCAACAGTGAGAATCTATAACAAAACAACAATAAAATATTTGCTGATACATAAAAAAAGGAAAAACAAGTAATCTCTCACCTCTAACGTCCTGTAGTAGGGGTCAAGAAGTACTTTGGCCAGGGCTACTATCTGGGGCGTTCGGTCCCAGCCATCTGAGCAGTGCACCAGGACGGGCCGGCCTTCCCGTTCCACCGCACCACACACCAGCGTGGCGGCCTTCAGCATGACCGACAGGTGCTGCAGCCATCGGGTGCTCTCCAGAGCCGACAGCCAGCTGAAACCACGACAAGTGGCCGATTAGACCGACCGGCTGAAATCCACCCTAAGTGGTGTGATAATGAGCTTGTAACAGGAAGAAGCTTCAGCGTATCCTAAAGTGCTTTTGGTCCGCAGGTTTAAACATGAAGAGCTCACCGGACAGCATCACAACTCCACTTAGAGAGTCAGTCTTGTTTTCTTATCTTTGACTTGTGATTACTAGTTATGTCTACTAATTTCACACTGTACACAAACACAAAAGTAAGTATTTTGGTCTAGTTTATAGAGTAAATATCTTAGAACGCCTGAAATATGACAAGTAACATTCAGCTTGTTTTAAGTCAATAGCTCCTTAAGATTGATAAAAATAAATTACTTGTTTCCCTGGCAGATCATTTCTTTTGTAACATGGGAACATATCTAGTGAAATAATTTAACTAATACCTTTTCATCAATGTTAAGAATTATTTAAGTAACCTCCATTATCTTGCTGAAAAGTTAGACATGGGAACTCTTGAAATAAGGTTGTTGTATTTCAAGCGTACACCAGAAACAGGCCAAAACACACACAAAAAAAGTATTCAGAGCAAAGTTTTAAGTGACACAGCAGCAAGTCAAAGCAGAAACCACTTAATGAGGAATAATATAAACTTTTAATTTCTAATATGTTATGAAAAGCAGATTTCCCCCCGATATCTATCAAAACCACCAGGAAGTGTGTTTTAAAAATCAGATTTCATGTAGTAGCCCCCAATAAAAGTAGGTTTATAATTTGTGTTTTTTCTGTTGTTTGATGTGGAACGCCCCGGACATGATACTTCGTAGAGCTCTGGTTCATTTTCACTGTTAAAACTGAACGTTTTCTAGCGTATCTCCAACTTTCCACACCCAGCAACAAATTTTAGCCATTTTTCTTTGCATTAGCTCTGTTTGGTCAGTCAAAATCTGAAAAAGTTTACTGAAAGAAACACTCTAGACACATGAGGTCTTTTATAAAATAATAAAAACAAATAAGGTGGCATATTTACTTAGATTTTTTTCTTTTAGGGTCAACATCAGTCTATGTCAAGGGTGCTCAATCAATCTCAATCGAAACCAGTCGATCGCGAAGGTTTTGAGTTGATCTCAGCAGCAGGTGACAAACTGAATGAAGACCTCACTAATCACGTACTAAAGGAGTATTTATACGAATACATAGGATTACTCGAAGTTACTCTGCGTTCACTTCAAGTGAATTTTTAGATCATCATAATTAACAAAAACAAAAACAAGTTTTACAATATGATGTCTGAGCAGCTGGGTCGTCAGCAAACCAAACACGTAAACAAATAAAAATTTAAACAAGCACGGATCGATGCGTACGGACGGGTTAGGCCGGCAGGAACAGGAACTGCTGCTCTCGTGTCGGAGTGGTGTTGCTTTACCGTTGGCATCAAAACAGGGGAGAGGGAGGCGCAAACGAGGACAGAGCCGCTCAGACGGAGAAAGGTCAAACCGATCGACTTACTTTCCCGGGTCTGGGATCTGACTGCAGACAGCCCGAAGAGCCTGGAAGCTGTTGCGGATGGCATGGATGTTGGCCATTCCCATAAACATAACTTCACAGTTGGGGTAGTACTCTAAAAATAACACATATATATGTGTCAAAATCTCTAAGCTTTACTGAAAATATAGACAACATTTAGATATACTAGTGCTGTCAATTCATGAAAAAAAATTAATCAGATTAATCACAATTTATGGAGTTTTAAATGCAAATATGGTTTAAGAAAATGCCACTAAAGGCGCCTCAGACTGAACTCTAGCGCACATTGAAGTATAATCGCAGGCAGAGTTTTAAATGTGCAAAGAGATTTTATAAGAATTAAGCCTGCTTAATATGAGCTCAGACAAACCTTCGCATTCACAGCCGCCACCTTTGGCTCGATTGGCCACAGCGGCGGTGTAGGAGCGGGCGTCCAGGATCAGCAGCTTCTGGGGGACTGTGCTGTCGTCGCAGCCAGAGCCGCCCGTCAGCGACGAGTCTGAGGGAAAACAGGAAGGACGACAGAGCTGAGTGAAGCCTGGTAGCAGGACGAAGGGGAAGACGAGAAGCGGGAAAACAGAAAGATGCTGTGGACGTCATAAAGAGAAACAACAACAACAAAAAATCAATAATTCCTCCTGATGCCAATCACAAGAGGCATGCCTGCCTCCAAAAGCTGCTTGTGCTGGAGAGAAGCAATTATTGTGCTACGCCAAGTGAGCTCTGAGTAAAGCTGGTGACGTGCTGCAGAGGAGCTTAAACTCTGCAGACTGACACACTGATGCCACCAAATTAAGCCTGAAAGATTCAAAGAATTGTTTCCTTTGCTAATTCTGCTGAGAATACGTTTCTAATTTTCATAGAAACTGAATGCATGAACACAGCAGTCATTGATAACAGCTGCAAGTTCTGGTTTTAAATTGGAGCACGCAAAAACAGAACTACAAATGCAGCTTCATGTTATATTTAATTGGAGAGAGAGAGCTACACAGGCAGGTTGAAGTGGAGCCTACTAAAACTACACATGACTGAAAACGCTATTCAAGCTTCTTTTTTTATCCATCATTGCACCAAAAGTTGTCAAAGTATTGATCCAAAGTCTAAATATGAATATAATACGCAGAACTGAATTTAGAGGCATCAAACTAAATGGACCACAGTACAATATCCATGTCACGCTTTTCAGATTTTATCCATTTTTCTGCCACGTCATGCTTACAGTGTCTTTGTTTTGAATAAAATGCATCTTCTTTTTGTAGGATAATGCAATTCAGAAACATTTAAAGAGCCGTGCAAAACAAAGAGAAGAATTACAAAAGAAAGGATCTGTTTTTATTGAGTTACTTGATGAATAATTTAGCTAATGTACTTTGGGGAAAAGTAATGATTTAAACCCAATACTTAAATTACACAATGGCACAAAACTGTACTCAAGTCCCACCAATTTCAAACCGTGCTGCAACACGACGACATCGACGGATCCACACACAGCAGATTTACCAAAATCACTGTCACATGAGTCGGGAGCATCCCCTCTCTGCCGGACCGCTGCCGTCCCCTTGGCTCCCGTGTCCATGTGACAGGCCTTAGCGATGGACGTCACCAGGTACTCATCGTCCGTGTTCCTCCAGCCCCACCAGCTGATCTCAGGCTGGCTGCAGCGAGCGATCACCGCCCCGTTCTTCTGGTGCCTTGAACGTAAAGCGGAAGGGTCAAACGCGTTCCGACGCGCAAGGCGGAGACGTCCCGAGGCCGCTCCGGTCGGCTTACCTGTAGACCACCACGGGGATCCTCTTCCAGGACCTGAAGGAAGCCACGCTCTCCAGCTCTTTGTCGGTGATCCAGATGGGAACCAGGAGCTTCTGCGGGTAGCTGGAGCACAACCTGCAGGGGAAACATCGGGTCAGGGCGTCGCAGTTTCTAACGCGGCATGAAAGACTCTCAGCCTAACACCATCCGTCTCCGGTCGTCTCTCCTGATACTTTCTCCAGTTCCTCCCCACCTGCTGAGGGACAGACAGGCTGTGTGGATATTACTAGGGATGAAAGTGAAATAGTGTGCTGAGTCACAGGACTCAGCAGGCTGCAGCTTGTTTAATTAGCTTGTTGTCCTGTGTGTCTGTCTCCCTCAACATGATGCTCTCCAATCTGTGAGCAGACTGACCTTTCTTTATATGGGATTATTTCTAAGCGTTAATCTCCAAACCACAGTTTAACCAAAAAGATTTGGAGAAAACGTGGAAACTTAAAATAAAAGCTGAGTTTTATTATCATGCACCACTACTTACACTCGGAACTACAGGCGCACGATAATTATCGGCCTCATATGGAGAAATGATGGCGTCATTCTTCTCATTTCCCAGTATGAAATCAGTTAGCGGCCTTTGGAATGAGAAAACTATCGGTTATTGATTTCAAACAGTAGTTATTGTGCCTCCCTACTGGGAACTTATCAGCCTTTTTTATATCAACATTTGTGAACTGTCTAATATGTTACAATTAATCTTGGTCATAGATAATAGAAACATATTTTATTCTGGGAACAATTTAACTGGAACTAAACCGAATTTGTAATTTTTGGTAACAGAAAAATGGATGATTCTATCATAATATCCATGGATTATAACTTAGCGGGACGACTGCATCAAGCTAAATTTCTAGGGGACATCGTGGATCGCAAATATTTAACTGGAAATCTCATTTCGTCATGGAATCTAAATAAAGTCAAAATGGTTTAAAACTATCAACTCTCCTGTCATATTGTTCATTTGTCGTTATTGAGTCTTGTACATTTCTGATTCAATAATGAGGAAAAGTATATATTGTTTGCGGTTTACATTGTGGAGTTTATGTAGATGTATTTATACATTTTATTTGTAATCATTGAAGAGAGTAGTTTCATACAAGAATGTTTTTTTTATACTTTCTCTCCCCCTTTCGCCTCATGAATAGCACGTGTTGCAAGAGTATGTGTTTGAGACTTAATAATAAAATTCGTTCAGTTTCGAGGAAGAACTGATTGACCTTTTTCAGGAAGCAGGAAGGTTTTCTTGGACTGTTTTCACTGCATCCACCTCTCCATATTTATTGCTGCAGCAGCATCATGGCTGCTCACAACCACACAGACGTACTTGTAGTTGCAGTTGATGTCAGAAACTCTCCAGACGTTCTGCGTGTCAAAGCCCATCCGCCTGACCTCCATTTCTATCCTGTGACGCACATGGTCCCCTACACACCCACACACACGCACACACACACACAGTACAGGTAAACACTAAACAGTCCGAAAATGGCAACATTTTCTTTCAACTCGATGTCGTTTGGTAGGTGGAGCAAACCTGGGCGGCAGAGGTGAACGTGCTGGTCTTCATCGTCTGCGCTGGCCCCGAGGCACCAGGCGTGATAGGCCAGGGCGAACAGGTCCTCCAGGCGGGACGGGTGGGCGATGACCCGGTTCAGGCGCTTCGCCCACTCCTGGCACTGCTTGAATGTCGCAAAGTGGCATCTGTGGAGAATCCGCGGTTTGGTCGAGAGAGAACATCTTTGTTTTCAAATACTGTTGTGCAACATTGAGCTTTAGGAACTAGAAGAAAAGCGTAAAGAGAAGGTTGCAGGATTACGGATTGATTGAGTTAGCAATTACTCTAATTTTTCATTTAAGTTTTTTTTTTCCAATATAAAAGTACATTGAAAATTCAATTTTTAAAGAAAAACATTTTACGGCCTAAAATGCAACATCATAGCGTTTCTTTAGTTTACGCTTGATCGTTTGTGGCAAATTATGCAAAACACTTCTAACATCAATCTGTGAAAAGTTCAGCCCTTTCTGCTCGACTTATCAATACAGGGTTGACTGTTTTTTTATTTGACCAATTAATAATTAGACAACAAAAGTAATTGCTAGATTGTTTTCTCCACAACATTTGTACTGGGTGAAGCTAAAACTGTGCCACTTAAGTTTTGGGTAAAACACATTTACAATTTAAAAGAAAAAAAAATTAAATCCAAAATTTGTACACTTTTGCCTTAATCACTGCTCAAAATATCATGTTCTTCCAGCAAACAGCCTTTTTCCACGCTCAACAGTCAGCCAGATTTAGCCGTCTATCTTTAGTCTCAGGTCAAATAACAACTGATGGGGAAGCATCGATTTAACAGAAACGTAATGAATTGGATTAAACTCTAGTGCTCCGTCACACATCCTTTCACCAGCAGAGGGAACGATTAAACAGAGAAAAACTAATGGGAGACGTCAGTCTGGCTTCTAGCACGGAGCTAAAACCACACAGGAGTATATTGTTGCATCTAATCTAAAAGAAGAACAACAGAGTAAACAAAATAACTTTTGCATGATATTTAAACTTCCACCGCTAACAATTAGAGGCCTTTGTGCGGCCGTCTAATATGAAGCCACCATCGTCTCTCTCCTACCTGACAACTTTGGAGTCTTTGCAGATGATGTGCAGCTGGAACATATCTCTGCTTTCCACACTTTCTACCAGCCTGAGCGGCACCTGCAGGGGGCGACAGAGAGCACATGATATCAGCCTGTTGGCCCACAAAGCAGAGAAAAACTTCTGCAAAGAAATCATCACAAATTTTACCAGATAATAAATTGTCCCAGGAAATATTGTAATAAATGCTAAAAGTACTAAAAACAGACTAATACGCTATAATTTGGTAAGGAACACCCAACAGCTGCTTTAAATTGAAGATTTTTTTACATGTCAAAAAAAAAAGAACCATAAAAACAGAAATAAAAGTCACTTGTAATCAAAACATAAATAAAATTGCCCTTCAAAAAATACTGATCAAAATGGAAATTATGAAGCTTGTTTTAATCTATCATGTTATTAACTGATTCATTGCTTTATTTTTGAAAGGCTTAAAATACCAACAGCTTTTTTTCCTCCCCTTGAAGTGTCAAAATTTCTTGAAAAAAAAAAATCAACTAATAAAATGTCACAGCTGGGAAAATACTTAAAACTGAGCATAATTTCCAGCTAGAATACCTGCAGTTATAAGAAAAATAAACTTAAGACTCAGAATTATCCCTGAATGACAATCTGGCAGAAAACTAAAGGTTGATGGCCATTGCTCAGCTGAATGCTTTGTCTTTAGTGCTTCATAACCAGATAGAGTGAAGGACTGAATGACAGAGCTGTCTAATCTGGGACAGAGGGATGTGTTTTATCGTATTGTACTCACAGAGATCTCATTGTCCACACCAGGGTAGGTCTAAAACACAGAGCCACCATGGAGCACACACACACCCACACACACACACGCAGAGAGAAAAAGGGAGGGAGAGGACACACACAAGACAGGAGGAAATGGGGAAAAAATAAATAAATAAAACAAATTAAACCCCAAAAAGCTTAGAAGACAACATGGGAATGAAGAGTTAAAAAGTAAAGAAAAAAAACAAAAAAACAAAAGAGTGCAAGATGAAAGCTAACTGAGTGGCTGTGCTACTAGCGGCACATGTCCAGATCAAACATGGATCATGGTGAGAAAGAAAGACAAACAGAGAGGAGAGCAAAGGGCAGAAGCGGTTTGGAAGGAAGGGGTGAAGTTGTGAAAGGACATGTGGGTGAGAGGCTGTGACTCGCTGGCTTTTGGACAGAGTTCATCTGTACAGCTGGAGGTCAAGGCAGGAGTCTGAGTGGTTGGGTAATCAGTTGTATGGGCACGGTGAGACGGTAACTTATTCTCCTTCTGAAGGAGAACACTAAATGCCCAGGTGGTCGGGCCTCTACACTCTACTCTCCACCGTTTCCAGAAAACCGAACCCTTATGGAAAACTTGACCACGATTTGGGAAGAAGGAGAAATTTGACTGCCAGGGAGGACAAACAATACGCTCATTTGTGTTTGAGCAAGGGCTTGACGTCAACAGGACAGCAGCGCCAGCAGGGGCCGGGCTTCAACACTCGGATGTCACGTCACGCCCTCTTCGCCGGTAGATCAAAGGAGAGCCTGCAACTCCTGTGGTACGATGTCGCTACAATAAGCTACGCAAAACCCTGGTTTACAGCGAGTCCTCCGTGTAAACCCCTCCGCTTTATTTACCTCGTTAGCTCGGCTGTGCGTTTATAAAACACTGGGGTGAAAGGGATCAGCCTGTGTGCGTCCAAACTGAACACTGAACCCTCCTCCCTGCTGCTATTGGCCTCCGCAGTGGCGTGGCATTGCAGACGCTCGGGTTGTTTGTACAGAAGCAAACAAATCCGCAAGCTCCTCCGCTGAGACGGCCACTCACGTTGATGACAGAGTCCTTGAACTTGATGTGGAGTCTGTAGTTGGAAATGGCGATGATGGCTTCGTCGGCACGGCCGAGATATTCCACTCCTTCCCCCTGAAGAACTGGGAACGGGACCTGAGTGAACACAAGGGGACGTTGGAGCGGGTTAAAAGCGTTATCGCAGAGCATGTTTCAGTTGTAGCAGAATTATCACCATCCCAAATAGAGTCCACCAAACACTGTTTGTTATATCTACTAACATATTAAAGTTTTGAAGATTTAATTCTTGACAAATCTGGATCACCGCCCACCAATGCACTCATTGGGTTTCCAGAGTGATGTCAGCGCGCCCAGTTGTTCTTGTTTAACAACCAAGTTTTACGACTTCTATTTATTTGGACTCTGAATTCAGGTTGAAGCTATGATAAAATATTAGGTTCAGGCTGTCTTCATTTTTTATTTTATTTTAAATCTCATGATTTTATGAGATCTTGAACACAAAAAATAAGAAACTAAAATGAAGAATGTTAAGCATCATGTGCAGTTGCACTTTAGTAACGGTTTTGTAAATAAGGAAATACTTCATCTTTTAATACATTAACGTGACATTATTATCAGTAGCAGGAGCTTGAAATGAAACATGTGTTTATTTGAGTCAGATTGAGATAGACCAGCAACCAGGTGGAAGAAAATTCACTGGTTTGGGAACCAGAATCAAACTTTTTGTGGCATGACATTTTCCACACACATCATTTTGGAAAACATTTCTACTACTCCCATTTCACTGAATACTTCTGCATGACTTTGAGTTTCTGTAAAGCGAAACCTCCACTAATCAAACCAAAAACAATAAAGCTGACTAAGGTGTCCCATTGGACAAGCCTATATAGTCTTACAGAGAGACCTTTGTGAGCGTTAAGGGCCTGTTGCTGAGCCTGAATGAGCAAACAAACAAGAAGGCCGGACTGGACCCCAGGCCTTCCATTAACATTCTTACTTCTACTCATTTTATTACAGTCTCAGCCAAGGCCTGGTTTTGGCTGCTGTGCGACACAACATTAAGGTAATTGGTTTCTAGAAGTGGTCAACAGAACTTTTTTTTTTTTGTGCCTTCTTACTTTTAGGCAGGGAATTATCTCTGAAAGCCGAGCCGGTGAATGTGACACACAGTTACATCTGCCAACTTCGAAGTAATGGGATAATCTGCAGCTTTCAATTACCTTCACACGGGTCAGCTTCTCACCTCTCCTTTTCAAACAATTGTTAGTTCAGCACTGGATGGAGGATCAGAAATCACTGAAAAGCTCCCGAAGGCTGGTATCACTTGGGTTCAGCCTCCTTTAAACAACTTTGCCGTCATAGCGGGTCATGAATGGCAACTTAGATCTTGTTTAGCCTCCGCTGGCGAGGACAATGGCGTTGCTTAGAGACAACATTACCTCATTGTGCATTAGCATGTATTGCTGAGTCACACAGAGCTGGAGTGACCAGGGCGCTTTGACAAAAAGACTGCATGCAGTGAGGCAGGCGGGGGGATTATGAGAGACATCAGGCAGACTTGAAACGAGAGAGAGAGTAAATGTACTGCCTTTATATAACTACTACTATTAATTATAATAGATTTTACTTGTATAGTGCCTTTCTGAAACACTCAAAGACACTGTACAGGAATTGAGCAAAATTACAAACGGTGCATTTAAACGAAATCATAAAATTTTTTAAAAAAAATACTTGCAATGGATACAAGAGCCAAAAATAAATAAAGTAAAATGTTAGGCATATTGGATGGTGTTTTATTTAGTTTGTTAAAGAACCCCCTGACGTCTGCTTTGGGTCTTCAGCAGATCCTGCACCCATCAGTCGGACCACACAGAGAAACAGAGTCCAGCTTAACCTGGGAAATGGAGCACATAGTGCTCTGCAGTAGAACATCAGAGCCAAATATAGGCAGCAGCAACCCCCCCCCCTCCACAGCAACGCAGGACGGGGAAATATTCAAGATTAAAAATTCATTAGCATTTGAAACGCCTTTCTTTTCTTTCTTTCTTTTTTTAAATATAGAAATAATACCTGTACTGGACTGGCTTTTGAAGAGACTGAAGATGAAAACGGGCCTGCACACAAGCAGAGCCGGTGTCAGGTTTTCTACATATTTCTTACAAATTCTTCCAGACTCACATTTTCAAAGTTCCCAACACTTCTGCAGCAAATTTGAAATGGATGAAAACAAAATTCCTCTGCGGATTTATGACTGATATTTCTAGAGAGAGTAAGCTTTGGATGTAGAACCTGTAAAACTAAATGGATCCAGCAAAAACATTTCATTTAGCCCAAAGGGAAATTAAGTAATTCACATTATCAAAGCATCTTTAAAGAGTCTTTTGATGCAGTCAGTCTCGTAATGGCCGTGAAGAGGCCTCTGACTGAAGACTGTTGCCGTATGACGTTATGAGATGCCAACATGCAGAGAAGATATTTCACAGGAACATGTCCTGGACGACGTCATCATGTGGATCAGCAAGCTCTGCTAATCCACCTCATTTGCTTTTGATGCGTCCCGGTCGTTTCCATCGAGACATTTGAGATGAGAATATAATCTCTGCCCGTTATGATAGGTCAAAGAAATAGTTTGAACTTCCTTCTTCTCTCTCTACTCTTTGTTCCTGCTCTCCATCCATGAACTCTCCTTTTCAATTCTTCTGGGATTTTGGGGTCAAAGTTCAGGTACTATTTGGGCTTTTGGAATGCTAATCATCTGCTCCCAGTTGTCAAAAAAATAAATAAATAAACAATACCTTGATGCCGTAGTTACACATCACAACAGCTGTCTGAAAGTCAAAAATCTGAGAGTAAAATTCCAGAGGGAATAATTGCGCAAACATGCATCACCTCAAGCAAAAAAGACAACTGATGTCTAATCAGAGGTTCTTCAACATGCTGCCGCATGCCATGTGTTCTGAGACCGGAATGAATTGTGGAATTTAATCCATTTAAAATGCGTTTTATACTTTTCCAGACCGTTCAGAAACCCTAAAGAACTAAAGACAACCTACAGACTCGCATTTTCAAAGTGTTGGGATCTACAGTGAAATGACACTGCAGACCATTTTATCGATCCACAGCATCGATTTATCAATCCAGAGCATCGATTTATCGATCCACAGTATCGGATGAAATGAAAAACAGGCACAGGCGTTGTCAGCAACACGACTGCAGACAGCTGGCGTTAAATAGGAACTGAACTGAAATGCGATTCTGCAGCCGCTGAATCCGATTGTTTCTCTGGTGTGCGGAGACACCCAACATGTCCTGCCCAGATCGCCATAGTTAACATGCTGTACAGACTGGGAGTCGCATTAAACGAGCCGAGCTCCTAAAGCGGGCGGATGAGTCACTGGCAGCTGGCGAACGCTGCACAAGATACTGTGTCACGTTTCCTCTACGGAGCCTTTCAAGCAGCAGAAACATGAACAAAACAAACAGAGAGAGAGAGAGAGAGAAGAAGAAGAGCAGGAGAGCCGCGGAGAGGAAGAGGGTGAGAAGAAAGAAACAACCATGAATAATGCGCCGACTGGCGAGTCGTGACTTCCGGTTCGGGCAACCTGCGTGTCCGGGCATGCGCACGCTGCTGCGAGTGAGCGCCTGCCGAAATGTGCAGACTCAGAGGGAAGGCAGAAAAGTACCAAGTAGGGCAGGGGAGGTCTGTCTTTTTCACTGAGGGAGAGCGACTGAGGCCAATCAGGAGAGACAGAAGCACATCTCCCTTTTTAAAAGAAAAGATGCAAGTAAATAAAATTACAATTGTCTTCTTTTAGAGCATATTTGTGGATTATATCACCTTCCTAAAAATAATGGCCAAATCAGTTTTTGCCTAAAGTGATTTTAGCCAAAATTTGTCATTTTATTTACTTTTACTTTGTGCAAATGTTACTTATGTTTCCCACGTTGAGTTTTGCACGGGCGTGTCTGAGGTCTGATTACTTAGCTTGGTTTTCTACCATATCCGTCAATATGTTGCCAATAATCAATAGAAGGACATGTGACAGAAAGAAGAGAGACACGAAAGGTTGGATAAAACACGTGACTGCATGTGTGAGCGCAGATCAATGAAAATAATTATAAAGCTTTTACCCCCTCAGACTGATACTGATGTCACTCTCTTTCACTGGAAGGCTTCTCAAATCAATCAATCAATCAAATTTTATTTGTATAGCACATTTCAGCAAGGCATTTCAAAGCGGAGCACTTAGAAATAAAAACTCTAAAACAAGCCGATATCCCCCCATCAATCTCCTGGAAATCGAGTGGAAATGTCACTCCTTTGAAAACCACTGAAAGAAGCAGCAGAGTGACCCAGGGCTGGGTGGGTCCATCTCTATGAACGCGACGCTCGGCTCCATTAACCAAACAGCCTAAAAGCACAAACTCCACTCCACAGGGAGAAGACGGTAAATTACCCATTGTGGTTTTTGAGCTTCATCTTCACCAACAGTCTAACCGATCCTTCTCTCTCGTCTAACCCAAATGTTTTGCAGCTGCCCAGTTTGGTTTTGTTGTTGTTTTTTAAACCTCTGCAGATGCTGTTTTAGGGAGAGCAGAAGGATGATGGGTGTATTTCTTAAAAAGCCTCACAAACAGACATGAAAGGTGACAAATTTCAGCTGTTTATTCTCACTGGTCATCAATTGGAAATAACCAATTACTTTGAAGTAACTGGATTATTTGAATTAAACCAGAATGAAAGATGAATAACTACTATAGTTATGGATCTGATTATTCCTATTCGGCAATTTAAAGGCAACAAACTTCACCTTCAAACTCTTCTTCCCCAGAAATGTCAGAGTTGGTGCTTCCTGAACAATATGGCTAAAAAAATATGGTTTCAGTTCTTCAGTAGGACCAGCTCCCCCTTCTGCCTCCAAAATGTGCAAATTACTCACACAAATCTTCGCTGAAATCTTCATAACGTCTTGCACTTCTGTGTACTCAACCTTAATTGTTTATGGTTTGATTTACCCTGAACAGTGACACTTCGCATTTATAGTGTTCTAGGAGAAATATTCAATATTAAAAGCTTTTGCGCACACAGAATGAAAGCACAGTTGTTCATTTTAAAAAATGTTTTTGTGGTTTTATTGTGTCAGTGACAGTTTAATGTTGGCCTTCAGCAATATGAGGCAGGGAATTGGACAAGATTAAAAGCTGAATTTTAAATGAACATAAATATGGCAAAAAAATGATGTGCAAGAAATTTATTCAGACTCACTATTCAGTCAGCATAGTGAGGCATATTATTAAACCCTAAAATCAACAGATAACCCAAAGCTAAAAAGGCTCAGGGACATAACCTGGTGAACTGAATCAATTGCTTATCAGCATAGATTTCCTTATTGGCAACTGGATGATCAGAAACCAAATAAGCTCTGTGTTCAAAGGTTTTTAGATTGTGGTAACAAAGACACATTGATGCTGAAAATGCCCAAGTCCAATCAGTTTGAATCCTCTTACTATGCTTTATTATTACATAATACGTTTAGAGAAACTGAGGTCAGCTGAACTCAGTATAAATAGGTCAAAGGGCCACAAAAAATGGAGGTCAGAAATTAGCCACAGAGGTCTGACCCTTGTATTAAAAGCATTAAGTCATATTCAGAGCAAATCTGAGCTCAAATACCGCTGCTTAAAAAAAGACAAAAAAAAGTTTAATACCTGAGAATGTGAAAGACTGATCAATTTTTACCGATCTGGGTGACAGCTGGCAGCTCACTCATAATCCTGCGTGTGATGCGTAGAGATTCACCACCCAGCCAAAAATAAAGTGATCAGATTATTTTAGAAAACGGCTGTCCGATACAGCAGCAGGACAGGTGTAGCGCCACCTCTCAGTGATGTCATAGCTTACAGTAGGAGGAGGCAGCATTTCACTGGACATTGGTACTGTGTGCTGCTCTTCTTATAATGTTGTAGGGTAAACATGCTACAAGGAAAAGATCTTAAGGAGCTCATTAGTTTAAAAAGCTGCGTTTAAAGCAGTATTTCTTACATTTGTAGGAGTGTTTACACAGAAAACATAAAAGTCACATCTCAGATTAATAGAACAAACATGAAATGTATACAGGATGCCTGATCAGAGTAAATCACATGGATTGAAATGCAATTATGTTTTCGTCAACGAGGTTGCAGCTGTCTTGAGTATTAATCTTTTAATGTGAGGCCCTTTGCTCTGCTGAAGCACCATGTTGGCAGACGACATTGCTTTTCCAGCCAATGTGCTTTATGGAAAGTAATCAGCTCACCTGAAGGCTTTCATCCTCCTTCACCAGGTCCTTCTGGGGGAACAAGTCCTTGGCCTTGATATACTCCAGACTGGGAGGCCCCTCTTCACCCTGGTAAATGCACAACAATGGATGTAACACTAGTTTTCACAGTGACAGCAAACAATGACAGTGACAGCAAAAACACCACCACAATGAGAGCGGGTTCAAATATGAAGACTAACCACTGAAAGAGGCACTTCGTTAGCCTCTGGTGGAAAACGCTCCAAGCTAATGCACAGCAGATTATAATCTGACTAAATACACTTTGGTTAAGTTTATTTGTATTGCACATTTCAGCAAAAAGGCAAAGTAGTTTACATCATGAAAACATCGTACAGTCACCAAATGTCATCAGAGATGTTGATCACTGCAGTTTAATTTATTATGGTTCAAAGCAAATCTAAACAGGTGGGTTTTCCAGACTCTTCAATCAGCTGAATGCTGCTTCTCCATGTTTGGTTCTGGTTCTGGGGACGCACAGCAGAGCAGAACCAGAAGACCCAAGTGGTCTGGAAGACCAATTCAACGACGGATCATGATTCTGCTTTGGTGCCAAGTTGTTCAGTGATTAATAACCACATTGTTATGGTAACTAATCTTCTTTATTATTATAACCAGAGCTAATGAGAGACTGTAGATATTAAATAGGAGGGGACCCAGGATTGAACTTTGTGGTTCCCCACATGTGACTGATGAGAAATTACCTACTGACACAAATGTAATCTTTTTAGGTAACGTTTCTTCCCTTTTATTGTTTAGACCTCAGTTTGAATACATGTTATTTTACTGAGTACTTATGTTTTCTATATCTTTACTGCATTTAATTGTATAGTGTGTATGACTGAAAAAAGAAATGGTCATTTTATAAACATAATCATCTAAAAAAAAAAAAAAAAAGCAAGACCAAAACACTCCTGGCAGCTGATGAATCCAAAAAGGAAACCAGGCTTATGAGGTTTATGCCCAACGTAATGGATGGGTTACTAAAATTAGCCTGCAATTCTTCAAGTGGAGGCAGACGGGAGAAAAGGGGAAGAACAAAAGAAATCAGTCAGCGCTGTCCTTTGCAGCCAAGGGTACTAGTGCCCTACTCAGGCTGAATGAACACTTATAAGGTCATACTTTAAATCCTTGGAGAGAATAGTGATTGCACTGAAGCACCTGCATTGTGCCTTTATTTAAGAGTTACATAAGACTTTCAGGAAGTTCATCTCTGCACTGATTGGATTCATTTGAGCATACAGTGAACACGTTTACCAACTGCGACTGCTGCGCCAACGCAGGCAGGACCACATCTTTGTAATTCCTTCACGCCACTGGAACGGGAGTCCTTGCTTTGTGCTTTCATTTTCATCCCCTAACAAAACAATGACACCAAATAAAAGAGGAAAGCCCTTGACGATGTCAAACCTTGCAAAACAACAGCCTCGTTGATAATGACCATCATCGAAAGCTCCAAGCAGCTAATTAAATTGCACAATAAGCTAAAGGTGCGGACAATGTAAGTTATAATCGGATAGCTAGAGGATTGTTTTTTAACTTGCATGACGCAACACTTCACATTTACGGTATGCGAACAAGGTATTCATATCCTTGATTCTTTTTACATTTTGTCATGTGGCAGCAAACTTGTTAAATAGAAAAATATAATACCAGTTTTATAGTCCCGACACTGCCTCCCCATAGCTCAAAGAACAGAATTTAAAATACTGTTGTTAGTTTATAAATCACTGAACGGCTCAACACCACAGTACATTAAAAGACCTGCTGTAGTTGTATCAACCTTCCAGACCCCTCAGGTGACAAAATGTAACATTTATCACATTGTTTATCATAACTAGTAACCTTTTATGGCACAAAGCCTCGTTGCTGAAATGTGCTGACTTGACTTTTCTTCTGCATGTCGTGTTTTTCCTGTAGGTGAAATTGCTGGGATGGTTCAAAACACCAAGAAAATAAAAGGAGAAAAAAAACAACAACATCGATTGAGTGTTTTTCTCTTATTTTGATAAGCATTCGAAAGCAGTCATTTAACGTCACACAATTGAGGCAAGGGTAAATCCCTTCTTTCACTGAAAACACTTTAATGAAGATGTTGTCCTCTGACAGGTAAACCCTGGACAGACTTGTCTGGAAACTTGATCTAGACTTAGGGAGTTAACAGAAAGCAGGAGTGTCAACTCTTGATGGAGCGTCCTCTGCTCCTTTTATGCTGAAACCGATGACCTACTATGGGTGTGGGAGAGATTAAAGCCATCAGTCACTACATGCAGTAAAAACATAACTAAACAAAGCCGTTCTCTCTGCCACATCTACACCATATATTTTACTAAACGATCATACCGATGGCAGCTTATGGAGGTGGGTGCCAAGGCTGTGCCACACAGACGT